AAAAAAAAACAGTGTTTTGCGAAGACAAAAATTTACAGGAAACTACCTCAACTCCTTTCTTGCTCCTTCGAGGAAATAATGCCATAATTCGAGGGTGCGATGCAGCATTGTATACATATCGAACTAAGGCTACCGTGTCCTCAGCAATCATTGCATTCACAAGCGCAGACACAGCAACACACGCATCCTGCATGCAAAAAAAAAAGTTAAAAGATTCAAATAGCCCTTACTTACCAAGACAATAAGAAAATACTTGTTTTGGGAGTACAAGACAAAAGTGCAAAAAAACGATCTATCACCAATAGTCTGTTCGAAATAATAAAAAATGTGAAGCGCTTTTTCGTTTTACATTATTTTTATGCGTTTTTTTTGCAGCTATGCAATACAGGAAACGCAAATTGACGATGGGCTGGCTGTGTGCCCATGTGTCTGTGTGTGTGCGTCCGTACCGATTTTTCATCCTGAGACCCACAAAAGCTACAGGGCTGAAACTTTGGAAACTTAATCTGCATGCACATACGGGCCCCAACCCCCAAAATGGGCGCCCGTACCCGCGTGGTACACACATACGAGCCCGCCAAAGTTTTTCACGGGTAAGCTGATAACTCAGGAATTTGAGAAGCTAGAAAGCTAAAATCTTAAGGGGGTGTTCCCCGTCCAAGCGGGTGTTAATAAGCTCAAATTCAGCCCACGGGTAAGGGTGGTACCCATGTACACGTCCGAGAAATTTTTTTCGGGTAAGTCACTAACTCGGGAATCTGAGAAGCTAGAAGGCTAGAATTCTGAAGGGATGTTTCCTGGCAGTTCTGGTGGCTAGTCTGAAATTCTTTTAGCTAGAAACATCTGCCGGAAAAACCAGTGCCGTCAGCGACAAAAATCTGCGGGTGAGCTATGCAAAAAACGCATCTTCGCATGGGCAGCTCGTGCGTTGGCCAATTATTTTTACTACACACTACAGAAAATGAGAATACCTTGTCAGTGGCAGGTGGAATGCAATAATATGCACCGCCATCCATCAAATAATGCTCCAAAATCTAAAAAAAAAATCAAGAATTACGGGCTGCCCCACCTCCTGTACAGGCGCATTTGTCCAAATAAATATAATCAATAACAATACAGAAACAAAGAAACATACTTCCGGATTATGTGGAAAGCCACAAAAAAACT